GCGTTAGGGTGCGGGCTGCAGGGGCAGGACGCACGGGCTCCAGGGGCGGTGTGCGGGCTCCAGGGGCGACGCGCGGGCTGCAGGGGCCGCGCGGACGGGCTGCAGAGGCGACGCGCGGCTCAGCAGGTCCGCGCGCGAACTGTAGGGGCGGCGCGAACGGGCCGCAGAGGCGGCGCGCGGGCTCCAGGGGCGACGCGCGGGCTGCAAGGGCCGCGCGGACGGGCTGCAGGGGCGACGTACGGGCTGCAGGAGCGACGTACGGGCTGCAGGGGCAGCGCGCGGGCCACAGGGGCAGGCGAGGCTGCAGGGGCAGCACGGTATCAGTGGCGAGCACGGCTGCAGGGGCAGCACGGTCGTAGGGGCGAGCACGGCTGCAGGGGCAGCGCGGTCGCAGGGGCAGCGCACGGGCTGCAAGGGTCGCGACAGTGAGAGCTAGGGGCGCCAGCGCGCTGGCTACTGTGTAGGGCGTGGCGCTACCACTAGGCGCAACGGTGGGCCCATGCAGGAACGGTTCCTACTCTGATAACATGTCAAGAATAGAACTAGGAATGAATGATTGAACTTGGCAAGAGGTGAGTACAAGTAGAGGAAACCTAACCCTAAAGTGTTGTACTCACTAAGGAGTGACCCTACTGTAGCCTAGAGATACAATTGTAATCTGACAGGAGGTTCTGGCACTGGAGGTGCTAGTTCTGGGGGTGCTGGAGCTGGAGGTGCTGGCGCAGGTGGCGCTTCTGGGGGTGCTGGAGCTGGAGGTGCTGGCGCAGGTGGCGCTAGTTCTGGGGGTGCTGGAGCTGGAGGTGCTGGCGCTGCTGACGCTAGTTCTGGGGGTGCTGGAGCAGGAGGTGCTGGCACTGTAGGAGCCGGTACTGAGGAGACAGGAGCTGGAGGCACGCCTACTACGCCTCCTCACCGCTACGACACACGTTTCCAGGCTCTTCGCCGGCTTGAGCGCGAGGAGCAGGAGCCGGTGGAGCAGGAGAGGCAGGAGCTGCAGCAGTTGGACCAGCAGCAGCAGCAGCAGAAGCAGCAGCAGCAGCAGCAATAACAGCAGCAACAGAAGCGGCAGCAGCAGCAGCAGCAGCAGCAGACGCCGCAGCCGCCACTTTTGCAGCAGCTGTTCCCTCCAGTGAGTGGCCTTTGAGCCCTTGGTCGTCCTTCCTCTCCTCCTGTCCACTCCCAGTCACCTACTGCGTACGGTCCTCCGTTTCCTCCTCCGGACTCGACTCTTACTGTTTTCTCTCCTCCTCAGTCACGGTCGTCTCCTCCTGTTGTCCCGCACGACTGGACAAGTCGTTGTCCTCCGCGTGCTCGGCCCTCGTCTCCTCTTGCCGACCTACGCACTGTCTTGTTTCTTTCTCCTCCTCGTCGTTCTCCGCCTATGTCTGTTCTCCCCTCACCTCCTGAGTCGTCTCTCACCGTTTCCTCACCCTATCACTGACTACTACCGTGCTGCTCGCCCTGCTGTCTCCCGTGTTCTCGCCTCTCTTGTCACCGACCCTCGTGCCTCTCCGTCGTCTGTCTCGGCTCTTACTGCCGCTGTCGCTGACTTTGCTTCCACCAGCCGTCTTGACTACGCCACGCGTGTGGTGGCTGCTCCACCTACCCGTCCTCTGTCCGTCGGGGGTGAGTCTGCCCTTGGCTGTGACGTCTTAGAGGACAGGCAGTTTGAGTTGGAGTTCTTAGCAGCCGCTTCCCCCTCTCTCTGCGCCATGCTGCTTTCCCTCGAGGGAGACCCCGACGCCCTTCACATACCGACACCTCGCACGTACCATGAGGCATTGTCAGGGAAGTGGGCCTCTCAGTGGAAAGCGGCTATTGATGCATAGTTAGCGTCTTGGAGATCCACAGGCACGTGCGTCGACGCAGTTCCCCCTCCCAGGGCGAACGTTGTCGATGGCATGTGGCTCTTCAAGGTGAAGCGGCCGCCTGGTTCACCGCCTGTGTTCAAGGCGCGCTACGTGGCTAGGGGTTTCAGTCAGCGTGAGGGAGTTGACTTCTTCCAGACCTTCGCCCCGACCCCGAAGATGACTACTCTTCGGGTGTTACTGCACGTAGCAGCACAGCGAGACTACGAGCTGCACTCCCTTGACTTCTCCACTGCGTTTCTCCAGGGCCGCCTACACAAGGAGATCTGGCTGCGCCGTCCTCCTGGCTTCACTGACACCTTCCCACCTGGGACCCACTGGAGCCTGCGGCGGCCAGTCTACGGTCTCCGCCAGTCGCCCCGTGAGTGGCACGACACTCTTCGCTCCACGCTTCGTAACCTTGGGTTTTGTCCTTCCTCTGCCGACCCGTCGCTGTTTGTTCGCACTGGTTCCACTCCTTTCTTTATACTAGTGTATGTCGACGACTTGGTCTTTGCTACACCAGACAGCGCAGCTCTGGTTGAGGTGAAGTCCGAACTGCAGAAGAGACACACGTGCACTGACCTCGGTGAACTGCAGCGCTACCTTGGCCTGCAGATCACCAGGGACAGAGCCGCTCGCACCATCACACTGACTCAGTCACACATGGTGCAGCAGGTCCTTTGGCGGTTCGGGTTTCAGTTCTCCACCACACAGCCCACTCCTCTTGCCGTTGACCACCGACTCACTGGCCCTTTTCCCGACGAGCCCTTTGAGTCTATTGGTCCCTACGCAGAGCTTGTGGGCTGCCTCATGTACCTGATGACTTGTACTCGGCCGGACCTCGCCTTTCCCCTCAGCGTCCTCTCTCGCTTTGTTGCGACTGGGAGACATCGTCCTGTTCACTGGACAGCTGCTGTGAGGGTGGCGAAGTACCTGGCGACTACATCAGGCATGGGGCTTGTGCTTGGAGGGACGCAGCCAGCTGTGTTGACCGGTCACTGCGACTCTTCCTACGCTGACGACGTGGAGACTCAGCGCTCGACTCAGGGCTACTGCTTCAGTCTGGGTGCTGATGCTGTGTCGTGGAGGTCTGCCCGGTCGTCGTCTGTGGCTTCGTCCAGTGCAGAGGCTGAGATCTACGCTGGTGCCATGGCGGCACAGGAGCTTCGCTGGTTGACCTTCTTGCTCGCCGACCTTGGTGAGCGGCCTCGCTCTGCACCGACCTTGTACGCCGACAACAAGGCCATGATCCTCCTGTGTCGAGAGCCTCGACTGGAGAGCAGAGTGAAGCATATTGACGTGAGGTACTTCCTCCTGCGAGAGTTGCAGCGACGCGGCCAGGCACGCTTGGACTTTGTGGCCTCAGAGACCAACACTGCCGACGTCTTCACCAAGGCCTTGGCGCCTAGTGACCACCACACGTTCTGTGTGCAGTTGGGGCTTGTTGAGGTAGGCCCTCGGTTGCTGTAGACTTGCTGTTTGCTCTGCTTGTTGTTGTTACGATATGAAGTTTTATGAGAAAGGCATTCCTGTATGCTGCAGGAGCCGACTCTACCGAGTACGAAGTCGAGGAGTCAGAAGAGTCGAAGCGACGCAGCAACCGTCTGACCAAGACCGATGCTGGCAGAAACATTTGAAGTGAAAAGAGCGGGAACAGGTTTGAAACGGGTTCCCGCGCCGCACGGTTTGAATTCGGTTGTAATAAGGGAATGTACCCCTTAGAGTACATGGCTAGTCTAGGTCTTTTCGTATTCCCCTGTATTCTTATATAAACTCGATGTATGCATGCTATTATCAACTCAGTCATTTACAGTCACTCTGACCTGAGATTCAAACTTCCGCTGCAACACTACTCTGCGATCAACCCAGAGCGATCCTTCGCTAAGTCCCACTTGGGATTGTAACAGTTGTGCTTTGTCATATATCCTTGTGAACTCTTGAACTGACCTTGTGGCCGCTTGCTTGTGCTCGGAATTTGTGTGGTGTCCTTGAGATCCACCCTGAGCTTGCCTTGCTTCTTGTATTGACTCGTCTTGTGACCGTTTGTTTACCGTGGTTGCTTTGATGCCCCTCACTTAGCCTATGGGGGTGTGTCAAATGTTATTGTTGGTTCTTAGGCTATCATGATTCTATTTGGTTCTGACGGAATCGTAGGTTCGGCACGAATTTCACGGGCTGACCATCCTGACGGACGTTAACGAACCCTAACGGACGGGATCAGGAAGGCGTGACTGACCTTCCTGATCCCGTCCATTTTGCACATACTTGTGCTGGCGAACAGGGCCATTGTGCGAGGTCATTCTCCCCTACTTGAACCTGATTGGCTGAAGGACAATCCTAGCGACACTCCTTCCAGTCGCAGTTATTTGTTTTGCAAAGCTGCACACTATCGTTCAACATCGCGTCACGTTTGGCGAAATTCTTGTTTCCAACGTTTCGCCAACACTATTTCAAACCCACATAACTTGCTGACCTCGGGTTTTAATGTTGACATTTTTGTTTCCTTGGTGTAGCAACTACGGTACATATGTTATAAAATCAATAAATTCAGACTTCACATGTTGTACCCCGAATCGAAAGGTTCTGTGGGGGTTCTGTGGACTACAAAACACCACTACGAGAAACAAAAATTTAACCATGTTGTATAGTACATGCACTTCATTACAGTGTTCAGGGATCGCGACAGGTACACAAGAAAAATCCACATTCATCCAATCACGACGCGACGGCTACCACCTTACCATTTCCTCATGGATTGACAGCCAGCCAGCTCCACACAAGTTCAATCCACCTAGGTAAATCCCTTCCCTCCCCCTCCTCACCACACACCATTTCCCCATCTCCTGCACCTCCCATCTCCTCCTCGCATTATGCTCTGCACTAAACAGCTTCTCCTGATCCTTCTTTCCATCCGTTCTGTTTGCCAGATATTGGCTACCCCCCTCCCACGGGTGCCCCTTCTCCCCTTCCACAACTACCCCTACTGCCGGTCCCCCATCCACTGCCCCATGTACTCCACTCAAACATCAACAACGTGTGGCTTGTGAAGGTAGGAGGCATGCCAGGAGATGGCGTGACACTGGCAAAGAAGGGAGAGTGAGTGCAGTGTTACACTGCTGCCCCCTCTCCGCCTCCATTCCATTGCTCCGTCTACTCTTCAAACTTCAAGAGCGTGTGGGCCGTGGTGGTAGGAGGCATAACAGGAGGTGGCACGACAGCAGCTGGCGTGGCAGCGGGTGAGGGGAGAGTGTGCGCTGTCGTTTGCGGTGCCTCAAAAAACGGCATGACAGCAGCTGGCGTGGCGATGGGTGAAGGGAGAGTATGCACAGTGAACAATCCAGTGGGGAGTGCCTTACAGGAAGGCACTGAGAAGCTACTGGAGCAGGGTGTAGGGCTGTTGTACGGGGAGATGGCAGGAGGGGGGACTGTTGGAGGAGGAGGAAGATACAAGGCAGGCGAAGGTATAGAGGCAGCAGAAACAGGTGACGAGTGGAGAGCAGGATAGGGAGGAGGCGTGGTGGGAGGGAGATGCGTATGGAATTGCGAAGGAATGTGCACAGCAGGAGCAGTAGGGGGAGGAGCAGCAGCAGCAGAGGGAGGAGGAGGAGGAGGAGGAGGAGGAGGGGCGGCAGAAGTAGCAGCAGCAGCAGGAGCAACCCCGAGAGGGGAAAAACCAACTGTTCTGGTTGATGCCTCTGTTGCTCTGGTTGCAGCAAGGGCGGCAGTGATGGGAGATACCCGCGGGGAGTGAGGGGACCGGGAGCGGAATCGGGGCGAGGATGGCTGGGAGAGAAGTGGTGGAGGAGCGAAGGTGATGGGAGAAGCAGCATTTCCGGGATAAAGGGCAGTGGTGCTATGAGGGGAGGAGGAGGAAGGAGTAGCAGTAGGAGGAGAGGCAGTGAGAAGGGAGGCAGTGAGAGGGGAGGCAGTGAGAGGGGAGGCAGTAAAAGAGGAGGCACTGGTATGAGGTGAGGAAGCAGGAGCAGCAGCAGTGGGATGGGAGGTCGTGAGAGGGGAGGCTGTGAGAGGATGGGAGGCCGTGAGATGGGGGACAATGGTGTGAGGAGATGCAGAGAGAGGAAGGTCAGTGGAGGGAGAAGGAATGGAAGGAGAGGCAGTGGAGGGAGGGGAGGCAGAGTCAGGGCCAGGATGCACCCTTTTTGCCTTCAAGAGGGAACCGTGGGTACCCATGATGGATAGTCTGCTCATGCTGCTGCTGCTGCTGTTGCTGTGGCTGCTGCTGTGGCTCCTGCCACTGCCGCTATGGCTGCTGCTGGTGCTGCTGTGGTCTTGCATGGTCGCACCGTCCTCCTTCACACGCTCCCCCCTCGCACACAGACTAGGAGCGAATAGACGCCTGCTTGTGCCAGCAGCGGTGGTGGCCGGGGGGGGAGCATTGGTGGTGGTGGCAGCGGTGGTGGTGGCAGTGGTGGTAGCATCCGCAGCACAAGTATATAGCGGGTATAACAACTGTGACGCATCAGCAGCAACAGCACCATCAGCAGCAGCAGGAGCAGCAGCAGAAGGTGTAGCGGCAGGAGTAGCACAAGCAGCAGGCTGAGCAGTGGTGAGAGAAGCAGTAGCAGGAGCAGGAGCAGGAGCAGCAGCAGCAGCAGCACCAGGTGCAGCAGTCAAGTTCTGCACCGCAGGGAGAGCAGCGGGAGGGAGCGACAGTAACTGGGCGAAGCGGTCGCGGTAGCGCATGGGGCGAGAAAAGGGGGAGGCCGCAGGGGAGGCGATGGGGGAGTAAGGGGAGGATGGGGCAACACGGGGAAGATAAGGGGAGTTTGGCGCACTCTCCATCCCCCCCAGTCCTTCCCCCCACGCGTCTTCTCTCCGCCCATCCCTTCCCCCTTCTCTTCCCAATTCCCTTCCCCCTGGTGCCCTTCCCCCTGCTGCGCTGCTTTCCCCTGCTGCGGAGTCCCAGCCTACTGTTCCTAGCACGCCCGCGAGGGAGAGGGGCGGGGGGCGCAGGCGGAAGGCGGGGAGGAAAGGGAAGGCGCGGAAGGAACGGGGGGACATCGGAGCGTGCTCTGTGCCCTGCTGCTGCTGCTGCTGCTGCCGTTGGTACTGCTGCTGCTTGTGCTGCAGGGGCGATGGCGACTGCAGTGCACTCTGCAGCTCACTCAACTTCTCCCTCTCCCTCTCCTCCCCCTCGTCCCGCTTCACAGAAGAAACACCAGAAGCACGCACGGCCGCAGGCGCGGCAGCAGCAGCAGCAGCAGCAGCAGCAGGAGGCGCGGCCGCATGAGCAGGCATCGCATGCTGAGAGGGCACGGCGGCATGGGCACGCGACACAGTACCGACCGGCAACGTAGCACGTGGTATGGTTCCAGGCGGCACGTCCGCCACGAGCGCCGCAGCAACAGGCCCGCTCCTTGCGGCAACCTCCTGCGCGCACGCCTGCATGTGCGCGTATCCTTGCCCATACCCACCAGCGCCATACACTCGCCCACGCTCGCGCTCACGTTCTCGCTCACGTTCTCGCTCACGCTCGCACCTGTACCCATCCCCATGCCCATGCACTAGCCCAGGCAGCGCGCGCGGAACCGAACCCCCCACCCCGTGCGCCTGCGCCTGCGCACGCGCGTGCGGGTTGTGGCGCACCATCCACGGGTGCAGGAGCACCTGCGCGAGCGGAATGCGCCCCTGCGGCGTCGCGCACAGCATGCGCCGCACCAGGTGCTTCGCCTCCCCGCTCACCGCGCCCCACGGGTACCGCGTCAGATCCGGCTGCGCGCGGCAGATCGCGCCGAAGATCGTCGCGTGGTCCTTCCCGTAAAACGGCAGAATGCCGGCTAACGCGGTGTATAGAACGACGCCTAAACTCCACACGTCTACGGCGAACCCGTACGTCTGATGCTTGACGATTTCCGGAGCCATGTAGAAGGGGCTTCCCGCCAGTCCGCGCACCTGCTGCCCCCGCTGCAGCACCAGGGATAACCCGAAATCCGCGACTTTCACCCGCCGCCTTTCCCCCGCCTCCCCCGCCTCCCCCGACTCCCCTTCCGCACCTTCCCCTTCCCCCTCCCTGGCATGTTCTCGACGTGCGGAGCAGCTGGAAGGGCCTGCGCCAGCGCCAGTCGAAGCGGAGTGGAGAGAGGAAGCGGAAGCGGGAGCGGAAGACGGAACGGGGTTCACCAAAAGGATATTCTCGGGTTTTAGGTCGCGGTGCAGTATCGCGTTAGTGTGCATGTGCTGTACCGCGTACACGACCTGCCGCAGCATCAGCGCGGCTTCGCGCTCGCCGAGCCGCTTTTTCCGCGCTATAAACTCGAACAGGTCGCCGCCCTCGCAGTGCTCCGTTATAACGTGCACGGCGGCGGTCGCGGCGTCGACGACGACCTCGCGCAACGAGACAATGTGCTCGTGCCCGCGCAGGCGCAGCAGCATGCAGATCTCCGCGCGCAACTCGTTCACGTCCTCCTGCCGCTGCCATGGGGGAAGCGCGGGGGGTGGGGACGGGGGAGGGGGGTGGGAACGGAAAGGGTGGCCGGGGGAGGGGGGGGGGGGGGAGGGGGGGGGGGGGCGAGAGTGAGGTTGTGAATAGAGATTATTGACAGAAAAAAAAAGGAAAACGGGAGAAGAGGATATGAGGGAGGACGGGGAGGAGGGAAGAGGCTGATTGCTTGGGAATCGCGATGCGTGGGTCTGCTTGCTATCAAAACTCGTCGAGGCTTGTGCATGAAAAAGTGAGGATGGCAGTAGAATTGGGTGGAAGGGAGCAGATGTATCTCTACATCCCGTTTATAGTCAGATTCGATACTGCAAACAAAAAGGAACCACGGTGGACAACGAAAACACTGCAGTGCAAACAATACCTTGACATTCGATAGAAGCACGGACTTGCACGCAAACTGCTCCCCCGTCTCCGCATCCCAACACACGCGCACCACGCCGAAATGCCCTCGCCCCACCTCTTCCCCCAGCCGATAAAACTGCTCCACTCTTGCGCAGTCTCCGCCGTCTCCATCTCCCGATATTCCGCTCCTCACCTCCTCCTCCCTCCCGCACTCTCCTCCTCTCCCTCCTGGAGAAAACGTACCCGCCTCTCCCGAATCTCGACTGCTTGTCAGATCGTCCCGCTGTCCCTGCTGCTGCTCCCTTAGCATCGCTATAAGCATCTCCTTTAACGACTCAAGGCCTTCGGCCTTCTCGTCTCTCCAGCTATGTTCCCCCTGTCCGTTCTTACCGCCTCCCACACTCCCAGCACCCCCGCCAACTCCTGTATCCTTCTCCCCTGCCCCGCTGCCCCTCCCCCCGCTATTGACATCCGCGCTATGCGCCTCCCCGCTAGCAGCATTACCATCTCCAGTAACAAGCCCGCCGGGTATCCCGTGCTGCTGCTGCTGCTGTTGCTGCTGCTGCAGCAGCAACCGTTGCTGCCGCTGCTGCAGCACCCATCGTTCGAGCGTGCGTGTGAGAGAGAGAGCCAATGAATGGAGCTGCCCCGTCGACATGCCGTGATCCAGTGAGAACCGCCGCACCCGCCGCTGCCGCTGCGCCGACTGTATCTGCTGCTGCTGCAGCTGCTGCATGTGCTGCTGCTGAGATTGTAACGAGCCGCTGTAACTCCCAGCGCCGTTTACAGCACCCGTCGAGCCACCCAGTAGAGCCGTTGACTTTGTTGGCTCTGCTGAAACATCTTGACCCGCGCGGAAGACGAACGGCGCGGACGGGGAGGCGTCGCCGGGGAGCGCAGATCCTCCAGGCGGAGACTGCGCCGCCACTGCGGCGCCCGCCGCTACCACAGCGCGCATTTCCGGGGCGACGGGAGCGCGGATCGCCGCGTGGACCGCGGCGTTGTTCGCGGCGCCGCCAGCGCCTGCCGCGGAGCGCTTGTTGCGGTCAAACGAGAGCTTAAAGGTCTCCGCAAGCGCTTGCGCCGAACGCCCAAGAAGCGGAGAGCCGTTTAAAGCAGCAGAAGGGCTACTATTACTACCACTCGTAGTGATACTACTAGTCGTAGAAGCCGTGGCATCAGCAGTCATGGTAGTTGTAATGATTGTCGGAGTAGCAACCACAGCAGCATTGGCTCGGCAAGGGTCCTTGCACCCGGTGCAAGAACTCTCCAGAAACTCGGGAGCATCTCGCCCAGCGTCAATCGCGCTCGCCGTAGTGGGGGAGCTGCTGGTTCCGCCGAAGCCCGATGTTGCCGCCTTGTGGCATGCGCGGAAGGGGAAGATGCATAACTGCGCGGTTGCCGACGCGGCGCTTTCCAGCGGATCCAGCATTACTAGCGCGCGATGTGGTGGTAGATCCGACGGTAGATCCGGCGGTGGATCCGACGGTAGATCGGACTGTAGATCTGACGGTAGAAATCTGACAGTAGAAATCTGACGGTAGATCCGACGCGAAGGTTGCACGCAGCCGCCGGGAGCAGCACCACTGACGCTGGGGCCCCAGCAGCAGCAGCAGCCAGCAGGCGCCTGCTCTTCCGCCTCTGTGCCTTCCACAGAGCTTGGTATCGAGGAGATTGAAGATTCAATTGGGTGGAGAATGACGCGTGCTGAGGACGACGTTGATAACGCGGATGATGCCGGACGGCCGCACGTCAGACTCCCCTAGACGGACTGCCACAAGACGGAGTGCCATAGGGCATGGCCAAGACGAGGATGAGAGATCAAGCATTTAGGAAACATGTTAACCGCAACAGAGTAATGGGCCAGCAATCCAGGTTCCCGTCGCACGAGAAGGTCGCTAGAAGAGGAGCCCAAACGGAGCAAGGACTCACACGAGTAGAAGCGGAGCCGTCCCGTCACGGCTTTCAGCCGCACGGACCCACACGAGTCGCAAGCTGACTCTACTACCACTAAGAGCCGCCTTGGTGTAGTAGTAACACGGCTCGTGACTTGCTGCTTGTAGGCAAGAGTTCCACTCTTGTCTGCGGTTTGTATCGGTCTGGGTGTAATCGCCGGGGTTGATCGAGTCGTCGGACGGGCCGACGACGAGTCGACGCGACGAGGTTGGAACGGCTGTGGCTGGCAGGAGAAGCTTCGAACACAGAAACGATACAGAAAAAACGATGCTACGCGAAATTCACCTACTCTTATATACACGCTGCGGTGGCCCAGCCCAGGTGGACTGGACCCCTCTTCCCCCCTGTGCGGGGGAAAGCGGGAATAGCCCGAATAGGGAGGTCCGCGCACCCAAGCGCTATTAGGCGGAAGGCATAAAGGGAGCTGGGGGGGAAAAAGGGGAAGGGGAGGTTGGGGTGGGGAGTGGGGGGAAGCAAAAATCGATAGTGGGGGCCACAGCGGCTGCTCCGCCAGTCACAGCGCTTCGCACACGTCACCGCACATGGTGAGGGCCTGCCTGGCTGTCCAGCAATAATGACGCGCGTTTCCGCTTCCCCTCTGCGCTTCCGCGCGCATTACGCCTCCGTACCCGCGAGCACCAGCGGGAAGCGCGAGAAAGCGCGACCTCAGGTCTCGTGAACAGCGGCGCTCCCCGCAAGGTCTCGCTTTGGCGCTTGGCCGAGGCGACGAGTCAAGGTCGTCGCGCTCCGACGTGCACCAAAGAAGTGCAAAATCTAGGAGGTTCAGAGAGCTGTGGTCCCTGACAGCTCACAGCTTAACTCACCTGGCAAGCTATTAGATGTTTAAAACTGAGCAGGCACACATGCTTGTTTTCCATTAGCCAAAAGATTGTACAGCATGTGAACGCATGGCGATAATGATTATGGAATTCACGCTGGTAGTACAATAGCAGCCTCCCGTCGAGGTCACAACAATTTGCGTGCGGCTCGGGAAACCAGCGGCTTGCTTGCATGTTCGCTCACATGCCGCCGCCCCGCATCGCGGTGGCTTGTGTGCTGCATGAGTGCCTGTTGGTTCGCTAAAAGCAGCCAGCTGGAGAGGAGCTAGGAGGGTCCCTCGAGGTTGGTTTTGAGGAGAGTCACACTGGAACAGTATATTTAACAAACTGCTGTGTCAGTGTGTATATTCTGGTCGCTTTATACTTTAGAAATAGACTTGACTTGTTTTCAAATTCTCTATCTCATTTGGCTGGAAACTGGGGAAAAAAAATGGAAGCTAAGACAAATTGGTTTATCTGGACGTAACAAGATGACATTACAAATGTACATTCATATTTATACAACTGAATCACCAATACAACATAGTCCAGCGAAATCTACCAAGATCCAACATTCAATCTACATTACTACCGTACATCAACACAACTAGACATCCATCATGAACTTCCGGGCGAACTTTATTATTTCCGCCAGGAAAAACACAACATTTCCAGCCAACCGTTACCTCTGCCCTGCTGGCCCAGGCCCGCCTCCCATACTACTCTCCATCTCCCTCAGCGCCTCCACTATTTCCGAAAACGTCGGCCGGTCTGCAGGATCTGCTGCCCAGCATCTCTCCATAAGTTGCTTCCAGGCAGGGTCGCACCAGGAAGGCACGGGGGGGCGCAGGCTGTTGGTGAGAATGCCAGTAATGATTGCACCAGCGTGCATGCTTGCGTAGGGTTCCTCCCCTGTGAGCATCTCCCACATCACCACTCCGAACGAGTATACATCCACCTGAGTAAAGAAGAGGGTGTCGGGAGGGAGGCGCATGACGGCGTGGAGGAGTGAAGGTAGCAAGGCATGAAGGCATGATGGCATGACAGGATGCAGGCATTGAGCAAGACATATGCATCAGTGCATGAAGCCAGTGGCGTTCTCACATCCCTCTCTAACCTTGTCAGCCACGTTCTTGTGTCCGTCCAGCAGCTCAGGCGCCATCCAGGGCAGCGTGCCGCGCATGCCTGCCGACACCATCGTCTTGTGCTTCACCTTGGATAGCCCCAGGTCTCCCACCTGCTCCCATGCACCGCATGGCACCACGCGGACAGGGCCGCACACCAGCAACGGTGGCCGGGGAGGGCCGGAAAAAAAGGGGGAGGGAGGTGGAGGCGGAGGGGCAGGCGCAGGGGGAAAAGGGTAGAAACGGAGGGCACGATAATGAGATCACTTACGCAAGACGACTGGGAAGTGCAAGGAACAGTCAGCAAAAGAGGCACCCGGGCTCGCCTCACTGCCTGCCAGTACTTCGCTTTAAGTGCCTCCCAAGACCCTCCCAGCACCTTGCACAAGGAGGGTTGCTCATCAAACCGCCCCGGCTCATCAAACCGCCTGCCTCCCATACCTTGCAGACAGGGCGGGCGGGGTCGCGCAGGTTGACGAGGAGGTTATCGCACTTGAGGTCAAAGTGTACAATGTTGCGCGAGTGCAGATACTCCATGCCAAACGCCGCATCCATTGCTATCATCACCCGCTTGCGCCGATCAATGGACCTGCGGGGAGGGGGGCAGGGGTGGGGAGGGGAGGAAGGGGGAAGGGGAGGAGGGAGGGGGGCAGGGGTGGGGAGAGAGGGGATGGGGGAGAGAGAGGAGTGGGGATGTTGCATGAGTGCAGATACTCCATGCCAAACGCTGCATTCATGGCTATCATCACTCTCTTGAGCCGGTCAATGGACCTGCAGGTGGGGGGGAGGGACGGGAGGGGGTCGGGAAGGGGATGGGGATCTAGAGAGAATGTGTGTGACCGACCACAAGCGAGAAAAAAACATGAAGGGAAGAGTAAAAGACTAGCACGCGCTTTGGGGGAGGACGAATCACACTGAACAGACAAAAAGGAGAGAGAGAGAAAAAAAGAAATCAGGGCAAGGAGGAGAAGAAGAAGGAGAAGGAGAAAGGCAGTGCACGCACCTCCCCTTGCGCTGCAGCACGCTCTTGAGGCTGCCGTTGACCATGAACTCCGTGACCGTTGCCAGGCTGTTGTCCGCTCCGTCCTTCACCACCCCGTAAAACGCCACCACGTTTGGGTGGTGCAGCCCCGCTAGGAGACACGCCTCCCTCCAGAAGTCCGCCACCTGCTGGGGTGCGTGAGCAAGGAGGAGAGTGGAGTGGAAGGCGGGGGAGGGAGGGCGACGAGGTTAGGAAGAGCAGCTTAAGAGGCGCCTTGAAAGCAGGGCGTGGGCGAGTGGGAGCTGGTGCGTGCGGTGCAGACTAAACAAAAATCGGCGCTCGTATGCTCCTCTTCCATCCCCTCCCGTACCATGATTTTTTCTACAGCCCTCCCTATCTCCCCTTGCCCACTCCAAGTTTTCCTTATCTCTTCCATCCCCCCCTCGACACCACCATCCACCCACCCACACACACCCTTCTCCTCCCTTACCTCCCTTCACCGTGCTACACACACACACACCTGCACCCCTCACCTTTTCCCTCCCCCTCACCGTCCCCCTCCCCCCCCCCCCCCCGCCAATCGCCCCCAGGCACAACCCCCCCCCCCAGGCACCCCCCTTAGCTGCACCCACCATGCGCTCTTGCTCGGAGGAGCGGCCGTCAAACACCGACGCCTTGATTTTCTTGATGGCCACGTCTGTGCCGCGCCACTTGCCGTGCACCACCGTGCCGTACGTGCCGGACCCCAACTCTCTTAGCTCCTCTAGATCCTCGTTCGCTATAGTCTGTGGAAGGGTTGTTTTGAGGGGGGTTGGGGGTGGGTGGCGGGGGAGGGGAGGACGAGGGGAACAGGGAGGAGGGAAGAGATGGAAGAGAAGGGAAGAGCGAGGAGGTGAGAGGACGTGCAGGAGTGAGTGGTAGCCACATCTGTGCCGTGCCACTTGCCATGCACCACCGTGCCCGACCCCAGCTCCCTCAATTCCTCCAGATCCTCGTTCGCTATGGTCTGGGGGGACGGGAGGGTGGGGAGGGAGACGACAAGGGAAGCAGGGAAGAGGCAGGAAGTGGCAGGGAGGGAGTGCAGGAGTGAGTGGTGTCCACTTGCCGTGCACCACCGTGCCGTACGTGCCTGACCCCAGCTCCCTCAGCTCCTCCAAATCCTCGTTCGCTATGGTCTGGGGGGGGACGGGGTGGGGAGGAGCAGGGAGGAGCAGGGAAGGGCAGGGAGGAGAGAAGTGGCAGGGGGTGCGGGTGTGTATGAGTGGTGGAGTGGTCTGTGCCGTGCCAATTGCCATGCACCACCGTGCCCTACGTGCCCGACCCCAACTCCTCTAGATCCTCGTTCGCTATAGTCTGGGGGAGGGAGGGGGGGGACGTACGGAAGCGTGGAGACAGGGGAGAGGTGAGTAGGGAGGAGCAGGGAAGAGGCAGGGAGGAGCAGGGACGAGGCAGGGAGGAGCAGGGAAGTTGCAGGGAAGTTGCAGGGAGTGCAGGAGTGAGTGGTGGTCTGGGGGCGGAGCGTGGAATCATATTGGTGAGGAGCGGTGGGATGGGGTGGGAGATACAGAAACGGGTGGGTACGGAAAAAAGGGGTGGGAGATATGGAGAGAGGCTACGGATACATGTGGGGTAGGGCGAACAGTGGGGGAGGAGAGCGCGCAGAGGGAGCAGAGATAGCACAGACGGCAGAAGTAGCACAAAAAAACGAGAGAGAGAGAGCAGAGGGCTTTTGAGGCGCCTCAAAAGGGAGCAGAGAGGGAGAGCAAGCAAGACGGTACCTGCAGCCCCTGTCTTTTGGCCTCTGCCTCGGCCTCCCGCCCTGCTCCCACAGGTGCTGTAGGCGGCCGTCCCACCGGCACCACTGGCATTCCAGATGGATCCTCTCTTGCTGCTCCTGCTGAGGCCTCTCCTACACCCTGAGACCATGTAATCATGCAATTAGGCAATTAGGCAATCATGCAGGCATCCAGGCATGCAGGGCAGATGCAGGTCCGTTGAGAGGATCAGACAGTTGAGAAGTGCAAATTGTTTGACCACAGAGAGTGAGCACGTGAGTGGAGTGCATATACCACATGCGAGGGCAAGCGAGAGGAGGCAACTCGCGTGTAAGAAGCGAGAGTGGGGTGTAGGAGAGCAGCAAAATGACAGGAGTGAGGGGGGCGGGGAGGAGGGGAGAGGGAGAGGGTAGAGTGAGAGAGCGAGGGAGGGAGAGGTGACGGACCTTGGAGGACAGAGCAGCTTCCATGCGCTCCACCACCTCTTTTTCCATCCCCACCACCTGCCCACTCGCTGCCCCTACCACCCCACTCGCAGTCGCCCCTGCCGGCACCCCTGCTCCTGCCCCTGCTGCTGCCCCCCCCTCTCTTGCCATGCTCTCACCCACCCCACCACCACGCTCCTCCCTCTCCTCCTCATGCTGCTGCCCTTCCCCTGCCTTGCCCTCTTGCAACGAACGCTCGAACGCAGCACTGTCAACCAAGCCCCTCTCCTCCTCCCCATCAGCCCCTGTTGCTAAGGCATCCGGAGCAGCAGCAGCCGCAGCAGACGCATCGTTTGTCGTCTCTGCACGCGCAGCTGCTTCCACTCCAACACCCGCGCTCGACCTTTCAGAATCGGCCACAGCAGCTTCGTTCCCGCCCATCCGCCCTCCTGCCTCTGCCCCACCCCCACCTCCTCCTACCTCACTCACTCCTAGCCCCACAGAAGAACCTTCGCCTGACCTTCCCTCCACTGCCACAACAGCATCAGCACCAGCAGCAACAACCGCCGCACCAGCAGCAGCAGCATCAGCATCCCCATCGCCCATACTCCACCCACCACCACCACCACTGCTACCCCCAGCAGTAGCACCACCAACACCCAATCCTACCCCTTCACCTGCTGCCCCTAACTGAGCCGAGTACACATTCAGAGAGCCTAAGGGCGGAGTGGCAGGATCACTCGAGAAAGAAGAGGAGAGACTAGATGAGACGGCCCCGCTGCTGCTGGCTGTGGTGTGCGAGAGGGAAGCAGACCCGTGAATAGCTGATCCGCCAGGGGATAGGTGCTCTATAGACATGCCTAGGCTGCCCAGGACCATTGATGCCACGTCAACTGCCACGTGGCGATCTGACGAGCCGCTGGCGTAGAGATCTGGCGCCGGGTGGGGTGTGAGAGGCGATGGGAGGAGTGCTGAAGGCGACGGGAGGTTGGGAAAGGACGAGGGCGGAGGAGAGGAGGAGGCGGAGGCAGGAGGAAGGGTGGGGAGTGCAATGGCAGCAGGGGTAGGTACAGAGGCAGCGGATACAGGCGTAGCTACAGATGCAACTACAGGTTCTGCTAAAGATGCAGCTACAGGGTTTCCGAGTGCTGACGTGGCGAGGATTGATTGGCTGGTGGAGGAGGGTGGTACCGCAGGGGGTGCAGGTGGTAACTGGATGGACATGGAGGGATGTGGGGCGTTGGTAGGAGCATGTGAGAAGGGGGTGACAGCTGGCTCGGAGAGGGAGTGGGGGAAGAAAGCGGTGGAAGCGTTAAGGTGCATCGACGGTCCGGATTCAGCCGGCCCTGCCTGCAGCTGCTGCTGCTGCTGCCCCTGCTGCTGCTGCTGCTGCTGCTGCTGCTGCTGCTGCTGCTGCTGCTGCTGCTGCTGCTGCTGCTGCTGCTGCTGCTGCTGCTGCTGCTGCTGCTGCTGCTGCTGCTGCTGCTGCTGCTGCTGCTGCTGCTGCTGCTGCTGCTGCTGCTGCTGCTGCTGCTGCTGCTGCTGCTGCTGCTGCTGCTGCTGCTGCTGCTGCTGCTGCTGCTGCTGCTGCTGCTGCTGCTGCTGCTGCTGCTGCTGCTGCTGCTGCTGCTGCTGCTGCTGCTGCTGCTGCTGCTGCTGCTGCTGCTGCTGCTGCTGCTGCTGCGGCTGCTGCTGCTGCTGCTGCTGCTGCTGCTGCTGCTGCTGCTGCTGCTGCTGCTGCTGCCCCTGCTGCTGCTGCTGGTACAGGTGGTACTGCTGACCTTGCGCCAGTGATTGCCGCTGCTGCTGCTGCTGCTCTAGAGCTGCTGACCCCAGCCAAGAGAGCACAGGAGGGAGAGCGGTGTTGTCTAGAGCAGCAAGGGCGGAAGCGGATGGGCGCCTGGGAAGGGCCCTAGGGGGCTGCACAGGAGATGAAGGGAGAGAGATAATCTGCACGAGTACTGACGTTGATGACTCAGCAGCAACAGGAGACTCTGCCTCTGCTGCTGCTCGGGAGGCTGCCGCTCCTGTTCCTGCTGCTACAGCCGCTGCTACAGCTGCTGCTGTTGCTGATTCTGTCGCTGCTTGCGCTGGAGTAACCACCTTGTTCCCAACATGGGAATAGATGTGGTGGGAGGGCGTTGGGTGTGTGGTGCTAGGTGGCAGGGCATGGGAGGAAGCAGGCGAGTGGGAGAGAGCGAGGGAGAGGGAGCTGGGCGGTTCCAGCACGGGCAAGGCAGTGAGACGTGGGGAGTACGGGAGTTGCACTCCAGGTGAAACGGCAGGAATAGCAGCAGGCACGGTTGGTGGAGCAGCAGTGGGAAGAGTGAACGCTGTGGACCCAGGGGCAGCAGGGGCGGCAGAGGCAGCAGAGGCGGCAGAGGCGGCAGGAGCAGCAGTGGCAGCAGGAACAGAAGAGGTTACCACAGGAGCAGCCGCGGGAAAGGGCAGGGGTGAAGGTCCCACAGCTGATTCTCCGGGTGCTGATGCTGCCGGTGCTGCTGCTGCTGCTGCTACTGCCGGTGCTGCTGCAACCAAAGCGCTTGACGATGCTGCTTCCAATGAAGGTGGCTGAATGTTCAGAGAGGTAGAGTGGGCCAAGTCAGCGGTGAAGGACGGTGAGAGATGGTAGGTGGTGGTGGACACAAGGGAAGGACTCTGCTGATGCTGCGGTTGTTGCTGCAGCTGCAGCTGCTGCTGCGGTTGTTGCTGCAGCTGCCGCTGCTGCTGCTGCTGCTGCTGCTGCGAATGTTGCTGTTGCTGCTGTTGATGCTGCTGTGATTGTTGCTGTTGTTGCTGTTGCAGCAGCTGTTGCTGCTCCTGCTGTTGCTGTTTCTGTTGCTGCTGCTGCTGCGATTGTTGCTGCTGTTGCTGCTGCAGCTGCTGTTGCTGCTGCAGCTGCTGCTGCTGTTGATGCTGCTGCAGCAGCCGCTGCTGCTCCTGCTGTTGCTGCTGCTGCTGCTGCTGCTGCTCCTGCTGTTGCTGCCGCTGCTGCTGCTGTTGCTGCTGCTGCTGCTGCTGCTGCTGGTGCTGCTGCAACATGACCTGCACATTCAACCCAGCATGTCGCCCCAAGCTCTCCACAACCTGCCCCACTGCGCCCACTCCTGCCGCCATCCCTGCTCCTGCTGCTGCGTGCAGCACTGCCTGTGATGCTGCAGAGTGAACAGGCGACCAGGCGGATGGAAACTGAGGTGCAGAGGCAGGTACAACCACTTCCCTAAGCTCCTGCTGCTGCGGCTGCGCCTGCTGCTGCTTCTGCTGCTCCGCCTGCTGCTGCTGCTGTGGCTGCGGCGGCGGCTGCTGCTGCGACTGAACCTGCTGTTCCTCAACAGCAGTTGAAGGACCATCAGCAGAGTTTCCCCCATCCGTAGCCTCCCACACTCCCACCCTTCCCCTTGCCCCCTCCTCTGCCCCTCCCTCTGCTGCTGTCACAACTCCTGCCGCTGCTGCTGCTGCTGCTGCTGCTGCTGCTGGGAAGGCAGCAGCCGCAGCAGCACCAATTTCAGGGCGGGCCCATGGAGGTAGCACCCCGCCAAGCCTACCACTTCCAGTCATGTCTGCCACTACCATCTCACCTGCTGCTGCTGCTGCTGCTGCTGCTGCTGCTGTTGCTGCTTCTGCTGCTGCTGCTACAGCAGGAATGGGTACTGCAGGCTGTGGCAGGGTGACTGAGCCTGGAAGCGCAGGGGGTACGGCTGTGGCTGCTGTAGCAGGCGCAAAATCAGGTGATGCTACAGATGCTGCAGATGACACAGATGCTACAGAGGGTATGGATGGAATTGACGGTATTGATGGTATGGATGGTACAGACAGTACACATGGTACAGGGATTAGGTCAGAGGACGCGTCTTCATGCAGAAAGGCAGATGAGGCGTTTGAAAAGCGCCTTTGAAGCTGCTCTGATGTCCATTCCTCCTCCGATTCTGGGTTTGCATCCTCATGCGCTGCCTGTGCCCATTGCTTCTCTACGTGCTGCTGCGGCTGCTGCTGCTGCTGTTGGAGAAGCTGCAATTGCTGCTGCTGCTGCTGCTGCTGCTGCTGGTGTTGCAGCAGCTGCAACTGCTGTTGCTGCTGCTGATGCTGCTGCTGCTGCTGCTGCAACTGCTGCTGTTGCTGTTGGTGATGCAGCACCTGCGTGTCTGGTATCCCTTCCTCCCCAATCACAACACACTCCGTTCCAACAAGCCCCGCACCCCCATACCTCTCCACTCCAACCGTACCACCACCACCACCACCACCACCACCACCACCACCACCACCACCACCACCACCACCACTCTCCCCATCTCCACACACCACCTCCGAACACACACCTGCACTCCCCACCTTCCCAACTTCCCCTGAATTCTCCCCAAGCGCTGGGACTACAGCATGGGGCACTGCAGCAAGGGCATGTGAGTTCTCATACGTATTCTTCTGCTGCTGTTCATGCCCATGCAGGTCGCTATGATCGCCTATGAGAGTCAGCAGCGCAGTGTCCCAATCCCCTGCGCTTGAAACCATCTCTTTCTCCTCTACACTGCTCTGCCTGCTGCCTAGCGCTCCCTGTTCTGTGGTGCCCGATACCGGCACAGCTGCAGCGGGCACGGGGTGAGGAGCAGCAGAAGCAAGAGGGGCAGCAGGACGGGGGAATCCCCCTTGCTGCTGTGGCAGCAGCAGTGGCTGCTGCAGAGGCTGCTGCTGGGGCGCCAGGCCTACAGGCATTTGGATCGGCAGCGCTGCTGACTGCACTGCCATCTGCATAGCTGGCAACTGTCCGTGTCCCTGTTGCTGCCCCAACTGCGGCTGCCCCACCTGCTGCAGCTGCTGCTGCTGCTGCTGCCAATCCAGCCCTAGCTGCCCCTGCCCCTGCCCTGCTCCGACCGCAGCAGGCATCATGAAGCCAGCTGTAGGGGGAGAGCCGAGGTGCAGCAACAGCTGAGCACCAGCATGTGCCGCGGCATGTGTGATGGCATGCGAAGCAGCAGGTGTGACAGCATGGGCAGTATGAGCGTTAGTGTGAGAGGTAGCTTGTGAGGCAGTGTGTGGGGCAGGATGGGAAACATCGTGTGGCCCCAGGTGGAGTATCGTTGGAGAGTCGAACTGCTGCACCAGTGGAGGCCGGGGGGCTAGCAGATGCGAGACGGGCACGGTGGAGAGCGGTGCAGCAGAAAGCGGTGAAGTAGAGAGCGGTGCAGAGAGAAGCGCAGGAGAAACGAGTCCAGAAATTGGGGCAGGTGCGGGCGGAGATCCATGCCACCACTGCGCCTCCTGATGCGAAGCAGCAGCAGTAACAGCAGAAGCAGCAGCAGCAGCAGCAGTGGCAGCAGCAGCAGCTGCTGCAACAGGGGGCGCTGTAGCTGGGGCGGACGGGCCTCTACGCAACTGATGATGCTGCTGCAGCTGCTGCTGCTGGTGGTGGTGCTGCTGCTGTTGCTGTTGCTGTTGCAGCAGCAGGTGATGCTGATGATGATACGGCTGTGACTGATGGTAGTCCAGGGCAGCAGCAGAGACAGATTGCCGCATGGGTGACAGAGGCCCTGCAGGAAACTCTCTCAAGAATGGGCTATCTATATCATGATCCTCCCCATGCGACCTTGACTGCATGAACCGCACTCCACCACTCGTACCACCCATTCCACCCATACCAGCCGCAGCTGCAGCAGCAGCAGCGGCGGCGGCGGCGGCGGATCGTGTGGGAGAGGAGACTGTGGAGTTAGCTGCAGAAGAGGAGGTGGAGGCAGAGCGTAAACCCAATCGGATGGGCGTGAGGTGGTTCACGGGAGAAAGAACCTGAGACAGACCGTGCCCCTGCCCTTGCCCGTGCCCCTGCCCCTGCGCATGCACCTGCCCCTGCCCATACCACTGCCCCTGTCCATGCCCATGCCCCCGATCGGAAGGGCTCCCAGGGAGAGAGGGCCGTATGAAAGACCGATCCACACTGCTGCTGCTGCTGCTCTTGCTGCTGCTGCTACTGCCACTGTATGCTTCCAGAGCGCTGGCAAACGGGTGGTGGATCAGAGACGAGGCGGCGACGCCAGGCGCAGCTGCAGCAGCCGCTGTAGCACCAGCAGCAACAGCCGCAGCAGCAGCAGCGGCGGCGGATGCAGCAGCAGCAGGAGCAGGAGGAGGAGGAGAAAGGCCTGGGTTGTAGCTGATACCAGAAGGGATAGTCGCGAGGGCCATGGAAGGGGGTTCAAGAGTCGGCGGCAGCATGTGTTTGCGGCCTGGAGAGAGCTGTGAGGCTTGTGAGAGGGGTGACGGCTGTAGAACAGTCTGGGAGTGAATGTGGGGTGGCACGGGCATGGAGTGTGCAGGAACATGGGCAGAATCGAAACCGTATTCTGCAGGGCTGATGCTTGCTAACGAGAGCCCAGCTGCTGCTGCTGCTGCTTCTGGTGCAGGTGCTGCTGTTTCTGGTGCGGGAGCTGCTGCTGCGCCTGCTGGAATACGCCTGAAAGCATCTGCTTCGCTGCTTGCAGCATCGAAAGGAGTGAGCATTTCCGCACCAGCGCTGTTCCTCCTGTCAATACCAGCTTCCGCCCTGAACTCCCTCACTATATCCGCATCCACGCCACTGCCTCGCTTCTCTATCTGCCGCATCATGTCACCTTGCATTCCAGGAATTCCGGATTCACCAACAACCAACTGCCCCCTGCCCCCTCCCTCTCTCCTTTCGCTCTCATGCCCACCCTCGTCGTTCCATCCCTTGTCCGCTCTCCCCCCATCCCTCTCTCCCTCTCGCTCTCTATTGCCCTCCTCACCCCTTTCATCTCCGTAGTCCCTCCCCCGTTCGCTGCTCCGCTCCCTCCTCTCCTCCTTCCATTCGCTGCTCCTACTCCTCCCTCTGCTCCTCCCCCTTACCTCATGCTCACGGTCCCATCCCCCCCCATCCCTCCCAGTTTCCCTGTCCCTACTCCGCCCCCTGCTCCTATCCCTCTCACCCCTTCCTCGTCCCCTACTCCGATCCTTATCTCGGCTTCTCTCATTATCTCGGTCCCGCTCTCTGCTCTTCTCCCTGCCTCCACCTCGCTCCCACTCTCGCTCCTTCTCCCGGTCCCTCTCCTCCCTCTCCCTACGCCTGTCCCTGTCTTTATCCCTCGATCTCTCCCGCCCCCACTCTCTTTCACGGTCCCTCTCCCGCTCCTTCTCCCTCTCCTCCCGACTCCAATCCCTCTCCTTTTCTCGGTCCCTCTCCCTCTCCCGCTCTCTTTCTCTCTCTCTTTCCCTCTCCCAGTCTCTGTCCTTTCCACGGCTCCTCTCTCTGCCACGATCCCTCTCCCTCTCCCTATCCCTCCCCCTATCCTTCTCTCTCCCATCCCGCTCCCTGTCACGCTCCCTTTCCCTCTCCCTCTCCCTCTCTCGCTCTCTATCCCTCTCCCTCTCCCTCTCCCGTTCCCTCTCCCTTTCCCGCTCCCGCTCCCGATCCGCCTCCCAATCCCCCTCCCTCTCACCCTCATATCCCCGTCCTTCGTACCCCTGCCTATCCCTCTCCCTCTCCCTGTCCTTTTCCCTCTCCCGCTCCCTCTCCCGCTCCCCCTCCCTCCCCCGCGCTCGCTCCCCGTCGTCCTGGCTGCTCCCCCGCACATGCTGCACCGCCAGAGCCCCCGCACTGCCGCCCAGGAACATGCGCACGCGGCGGCCGCCCGACGCCTTATGCGCCTCCCTGTCACACTCCTCCAGCATGTTCTCCAGATCCTCATCGTTGCACACGGATACAAGCGAATCCAGATCTTCTCCTGGCAACTGCAGGTGCGCGCGCGCGCGGGAGAGGCAAAGGCGAGGGCGGAAGAGCGTGGGGGAGAGAAAGAGACGGGGAGGGGGAGAGAAGGGGGGTGAGGGGGGGAAGGATGGGATGGCAAGCGGAAATTCATTCAATGGCCCCTCCGATGGTCCCTCCAATGGTGGTAACTCTAACGGTGGGTCCAGGCGTGCCGAGATGGAGATCTCGGCACGCGGGGCCGGGGACACGTGGAGCGTTACACGAGGCGCGAGCTGAGCGGCTGTCGGAAACGGATCGGCGAAGCACCGCGACGGACGTAACGGAAAGGGATATGACGCTGGGGATTTGGGCGGACGAGGACGATCCGTACGCAGAAGTAAACAACTCAAAAACACAATCAGCAAAACGACGGCCTGTGCCTATTTAAGAAGCTAATTAAATCTACAGATCCCTGGAAAGTACCCCGCGTATTAGAAGTTGGTTCCAAAAAAAAAAACAAAAGCTACCTGATATTTGATGAAGACGTTATGGCCGTAGATGTCCGCGAGCCGCGACTGCAGATCGACGAAGCGCATGTGGCGCGGCACGGACAGCAAGCGCGTCTCCCCGCCCACGTAGCGCAAGCGGTGGTAACCCGCCTGGTGCACAATCCCCCCTCCATGGCTCACCAACAGCTTCACTCTGTGGGAGAAATACCCCTCCGCGCCTCCTCCCCCGCCCATCCCCCGGCCCGCGGACCCGTGCATCGGGGTAACCGCGGCGGAAATCGCCGACGCGCCTAGATCCATGCCGTCCTGAACCATGCGCAGGGGGATGAGATTTCCCCCCAACCCCATCATATCGAGGCCCTCGTGGCTCGGCACGGGCGGAAGCGGCCGCATGGGGGGCCGATCAATTGGATCCAGGGACAACTCTAGCATGCTCGAGCCGCCTATCGCGTCGCTCAAAGCGGCGGAGTCGCTGCTGGCGGTGCGCGATATCTCACGGTACGCGCGGGTGACGGGCGAAAATGCATCGGTCATGGCGGGGTGAGTGAAGATACGATCCGGATCTGGGGAGGCGTCGTATGCTGCGTGTGAGGGGGACAGAGGGTGCGCGCTCCCAGAAATTCCCGCGATCCCCTCGTTCAACGTGCAATCGCGCTGCAAGTGTCCGTCTCTATCCGCTGCTCCTGCTCCTAGCACCGGCGGAGCCACCGTCACCGCATCTGCCGCTGCTGCTGCTGCCGCCGCCGCCGCCGCCGCAGCTCCTTCTGACGTTGCAACGACACCGGCGGCGTGCGAAATCGCGTCAACAGGGACCGAAACCGGCAGACCCCCGAGGGAGACACGCTTGCGATGCCCCACGCTATGCCGACGCCAATTAGAACCATGCGATAGTGAATGATCGTCCGACGAGCTATGCCCATCCGCCAAGTCCGCCTCTATGAGCCTGTCGAACGCGGACCAGGAGGGCGCCGCGACTCTGGGGAACGCTGGCGGCGCGGGGTCGGCTTGTTCCGCGAACGTGAGAACGGGGAGGCTGGAAAAGTGCGCGAGGGGCGCGCGCGGGGAGTAGGGGGACGGCGAGCGCGGGGACGGCGAGAAAGGCTGGTCGGGATGCCCCAAGCCATCCACGTCAAACGAGTGCGTGGCAGGATCGGGTACGCTCCACTTGGCGACGGCGTCAGGCACTCGAAGCGTACGCGGCGCGAGGAGAGCTGAAAGTGGCGAGCTACGCCTAGCGAAGCGCCGCGACGGGATGGGCGTGAGGCCTGGTATGGCGGAATCAGGGGACACTACTCCCGCTAGAATTGTCGCCGCTGCAGCCGCAGCAGATTCCGCTCGCTGCGTGTCGTGGTCTTGGGAGGCGGAAGAGCGGTCTTCCGAAACCTCCATAACGAGGCCGCGGACGTATAACGGGGACGGCTGCCAGAGCTGAAGGGAATGGGAGGGGCTCTGAGGGAAGGGGGAGGGAGGGGTGGGGAAGGGGGTGTGAGGAGGGAACGGGAATTTAGACAGGCTAGAGAGAAATTAGCATTTCGAGGAACAATTTGACCGTGAAAGCTCTAACAAATTATATGTTTCTAAGGAAGAGGCGCCATAAACTTTAACATCGGACGAACAAGCATGTCAGAAGCCGATGCTTTGACAATGGAGGCAAATTACAAAAGTAGGCTGATATTTCTGGAAAGTAATTGGCCTATTTCGTATAGAGCTAACAGACTTGAAATCCCTCGACCAGCGCTCTCGCAAATCACGAAAATAAATCTATCCAAAAACTGCTAACCATCTCACCTGCTATAGCGAATACGAGCCGCCTTGTACACTGGAATGCCGGAACCGCCTAGTTAACTACAACGAATAAGTGCCTAACACCACACTTGCACCACGCCTAGGATGACTGACTGACTAGGGGTGGGGTCGGGTAGTATGTACTACTGAGCCCAGCCAAGTATCAGATGGTTGTTCGGACGACTGATTTTCCAAGCACTGAGGCAACTCACTTCGAGGAAGGCTGCAAAAGAGAAGCTCTGCTGGAGATGAGACAGGACAGCAGCATGATCCGAACCAGACGAGTCCAGCTGGTTCGACCACACCACCACACACCGCCAGCATTTTTGGAGACTCGGTTTTGGTTCGGAAGAGAATCTGGGGAGGAGGATCGTGACTGGATCCCCCGGACCTGGGGAGAGGCGTGTGTGTGGCGGGGGAAAAGTGCAGCACAGCTTGGTAGTCCATGCGCCATGGCGCAACCAGAATGGCTGTGGTATCCGCGCAGTTTGCGCCTGGTTTGCGACACTACTTGACTGGCAGAACGGATATTTGTGTGCTGTGCTGTTGGTAATTTGGCGGCGCTGGTGGAAGGGGTATCCCTTCCCTTGCCTGCCGCATGGTTTGCCACGAGGCACGGAGGTTCGGAATGTTTGAAGCATGCTGAACAATGCGTGTTTCGGGAAATTCGACGTTTGGCGAAACAGCTTTTGGTTTGGAGGATTTTCGCTCGGTTACTGCATGCTTGTGAGGCACAACAAGTTTTTGGGTGTGCTGTGCTTGCGTTGCCTTGCGAGTGGGAGGAAGTCTCTAGGTCTGGCCTGCCCGCCAACGAATTGGGGAAGACGAGCTTGGAGGACTGTTCATTGGTGGGTCTGCGAATGTATGCTAGACATGCCAGATGGCAATCCCAAGCTCTTCGGACTTCGCGAAATTTCGGGATGTTCAAACAAACCTTTGCAGGAGGTGGGCCTGCCATCGATGCCCCACCCACCACTTCAATCTCAGGCCCATACTGTACACCAGTTATTCGATAATTTCACGCGCCGAGTTTGGGGCGGCGGTGATTGTTGCTTTCGCCTGGTGCTTTTATCGTTTCAGTGCCACATTTCCCTGCCTATTGCGCCTTTGCTCCCAAAATGTGATTGTAGTTACGTTTTTTTAACTGTAGGCCGGCCTGCCCTAATCATTTGTACAGAAATTGCCTCGTCCTTAGCGCAAATACGTAATACTGTAGCATCTTTCCACCAGATTTCTTCACCATTTTGCATATGAATGCTTAGTTGACCACGCGTGTGGTCATCATAAAATTCGATTCGATGTGACATAAACGCATCGCTCCCAACCTTTTATGTGAACGTACCGAGTATATAACATAATCGCATGTGGTTCAAACGAATAATAGGGTGTACCATGGCAATGTTTGTGTTTGCAGCACACTGATGTGAAGGCACAGGGAATGGCATTGTGAAAGCTCAAAACGCCACGCGTCGATTGATTGAATGCCACCATGACCCAATCTCGTTAGCTGGACTTCCGTGAATTCTGGAACATGATGTCATCCACCAAGGGCAGTGTAGAATGGATCTTGTTGGGGCGCTCCCGCACCGCACCCATTCACAGATTTCCTTCACCCGTAACAAAATGTTCTTCAGGATCTTGGTGACGGAAAAATACGCGACATTAACGGCCGCGGAAGCACGACAATTGTGGGTTGTTGAAATTCACGACAATGTCACCAGTACATTGAAACTTTGTTATGAGTTGAGATTCACTCCCAAAGAACACAATTCCGTAATAACCACAATCAGCTTCAGTATGAGTCCGCTGTACAAAACTACTGCACGTTATTCATACACAATGCAATACTACACAGGTTACCACTCTTCAAGCATTCACCTCATACTCTTGAATTTCACGGTAAATGTTACGCCCTCGTTTCAATTAGCAGCACACACTGCAGGGCAGATTGTGGTCCCTGGACATCTGCCTCTTGTTTGGCAAACCTTGCTCCAAAGGAATACCTATTGCGCCAACTCAAAACTCAGGCTTTGCTCTAGAGCAATCAAAACGAGCAGAACACATAAACCAAACTATACACAAGAGGGTTGAACTTATTCAGCAAACCATTCGATAGGAGATTGTCCATTCGCCAAAAGAATGTTGTTGACCTTGGAAAAGTGCCTGAACAGAAATAACACATGAATGGCAGGCAGCACATGAAGCGAGGTGCAATGAAAAAACACACCACACAAATGCATCCAGAACTACATCGACTAGCCAAAGTCACAAATCAGTGCTGCTGGCCTTACGCTGAGCCAAAGAAGCCCCTGTGCGCACTCAGACCCGATGGGTGTGCTGATGCTAGCAAGACGACATTTGAGCCCGGAGGGATTACCCTGGAGAATACAGCGCCACGAAACGGAATGATAGCAGGATCATCATGAGGACGAGGATGACAGCAGTGTGCAACGATGATGACAATGATGCCACAGCCAAGTGTGGTTCTTCTATGGTTGCCTTGGAGCAAAGCAGGTTTAAAAAATACATATGATTTCCAGCAGTAAGGCGAAGCGATAACTTGAGAAGGGCGCTATCATATAAGCTGACTCACTTTGCCTTGGTCTTGGCATGATTACCCCAAAGAAGGAAGATGAGGGGGGGAGAGGGAGAGGAGGACGAAGAAGTGGTTTTGGGTCGCTGCGAGGCAAGCGCGCGAATCGTAGCATCTGTAAATTGCTCCCACCCCTTCTTGGCGTGTGAATTGGCTTGGTGTGCTCTCACTGAAAAACGGAGTGAGCCAATCAAGTGGAGATGGTGTGTGTAAAGTAGTGAGGAGAGGTGAACCAAAAACGAGAAAGCAAGTCGGGGAAATCAGCCCTACTGATGGACTCCTTGAATGGTGAACGTGACTTGAGAAGGATGAGATGGGTGCAGTGCAATAAGTGCCTTGATACCCGGTGATCATCTCTCCTCCTTCACCCACACTCACCAGTCAGCACTGTGTTGAGGAGAAGCACTCCCTGAGAGGAAAGCATGCAGGAAGCGAATGAAACACACAGCAAGGGAAGAAAATGTGGTTCAGCGTGTGAGAAGGTGAAAGAAAGAGGTGGAGCGGGTACAGGACAGAGCTTGATACTCAAAATCCATGTTCATATTCAACACAAGTAGTCCTATGGTATTGTACTCTAGTGCACACTGTGTACCCGCAATACCACCCACTACCCCCACTCCAACCAACACCCACCACCACACCCAACATACCCAACACTCACGCACAGCACTGCACTGCACCCATCAAGCACACCCCCACCTGGTCTACCCAGGTGGCATATGCAGCCGCGGGCAGGCATAGCAGCAATACGGGCATCACTGCGCATCTCCTTGATATTCTAGAGGCGCTTCAGGAACTTCCTGGTCTGCCCAATGGCGCAAGCAGCCGTGGGCAGGCATGGCAGCGATACTGTTCATCACTGCGGAATACCCAGGGCTAATATGCAGCTCATATCACTCACCTGGTCGGCCCAGTGGCGCAGGCAGCCGTGGGCCGGCATGGCAGCAATGCTGCCGTCACTGCGCATCTCCTTGAACACGTTCTGTAGCGAGGACGGCAGGGGCGTGCCACGTGGCACGGAGAAACTCAGCCCCACGGCCTGCCCTGGCCCGTGGTATGGGTCCTGCTTGGAGCCGGCGGAGAGTGGAAGGGGGGGGAGAGGGGGTGGGGGGCGGATAGAAGGGAGAGATTACTTGTGAGGCGCCTCGAAGAAGAAGGGCCGTGGTATGGGTCCTGGTAAGAGGAGGAATGGGGAAGGAACGAGGGACGGAATTGATTTGCAGCACGAAAACGTGTCCGGGGCTGTGCTACGACTCCTGCCCTGCCGGTGATTGGGTTTTGGAGAAACGGGTGAGAAAGAAGGTGATTGGCGACAGGGGTGGAGTAAAGAAGGAGCCATGGTAGGGTCTTGCTTGGGAGGATGGGCAGGGGTTGGATGGAATGAGGGCCAAGAAGGGACTATGCGGGCCTGGCTAAACTCAGTCATAACCTGACAGCGTCATCCCCTTCAAATCACACCGTCACCTCCCCTGTAATCACAAACTCACCTGTCCTATAATCACGACCCTTGCTCTCTCCATAGGGCACCGATTCAGCGCCTCGAACACCGAAGCTGCAGGAGGGAACACCCGCTCCTTCCGCGAAACTTCCTCGTCCAAAAACGCCTGGAGCCGCCGCATGTACGGCTCGTCGAACTCCCGTCCAAGCGCTGCCACCCAGGACGGCTCGCGCAGCAGCGATCTCAGCGGGGGGAACTTCCCCACTTGCGCTTGCGCGCCAGCCGCGGCATCCGCGTGCGGCATCTGCGGAGTGAGCGGGACGCCGCTGCGACTTCCCGCGCTTGCGCTTGCGCTGGCTACCATGGGGGGAGACTGCGCGGGGGTGACGCTCCTGGCGGCGAAGCCAGGCGGAGATTTGGCGCGCGGGGACCTAGGCGGGGGCGACTGGGCGTTTATCGGGGGAAGGTTGTTGCTGTCGCTGCTAGGTCGTATCTGGCTCGTGGCAGGCGTCCCTGGTCCCTCAGACTGGTGGGTTGCCTCGGCGCAGTTTCTTGGCGCGGCGCGCTCGCTCTCCTCCGCGACACGCGCAGGATTCGCGTCCGCGGAAGGGGAGGGCGGGAAAGGCGGAGCGGGATTGTTTCCCCGTGGCGGGGACGTTCCGTTCGCGCGCATTCGCTTGGGCGCGGAAAAGAACGCCGCGAGCGTGGCTTGGCGGGGCTTGCGCGCGGCCATTGCGGGGAAGAGGGAGGCGGAAGAGGTGAAGGGGACCGCGGAACGCGGGGCCGTGAGAGCGCTGAGACTGCCGCGCAGATGCGCGCCGAGCGAAGCCGTGAAATGGGAACTAAGAGGCGAAGGCGGAACGATTTTGAGGGGCATTAGGAGAAAGTGAATACTGGACGATGAAACCTAGAGCATTGAACAGAGGAAGCGGGAAGTTCACGAATGGGAGCAGACGAGAAATGCCAACGCGCAAACCTGCGTCGCTTCCTATACTTATTGAAAACCGTCGACAGAAACTGACATGGGAAGCGTGCAGGTTTAGCCGCAAGCGGGAGCGGGAAAGAGCAGAGCAGACGAGGGAAAGGAAAGTGGAGTCACGGTGACAAATCACGACTCACGAGTGTCAAGTGGTGGTGGAACGAGAAAGCGAGAAAGGAGAGCAAGAAAACGAGGGAAAGGAGGAGGGAGGGAAGACGGCTTGTTCCCGCGCGCGCGCGCTGGGAAGAAATGAGTGAAGCTGCTTTTGTGAATTTGAAAAGCCCCGCTGGAGAGAAGCAGGTTTCGTCTTATTTAGATGCGGTGTAAGTTCGAGCACGAGAGCATTTCACTACCAAATTCAAACTATGGTAGCAGGTTAGTCACTCCGGTTTCTCAAGATGTGCAAGGGCGGAGATTGATGATACCAATAACCACCTACAACCATTCTTGATGGCTAAGGAGCTTGAAACGTGCTTCTTAGCAAAGCAAACAAACATGAATTGTGATGAACACGAGGAGATATGTAAATCAAACCTTGATTCTTCTTGTAGAGATCAACTACCACACTGTATATCCATTGTTGCAGCAAACCTAATGAAACCCTGAATCCAGCAGAGCCCTGGTCCCACCAAGTTCTAGAACGGAAGCCAAGGCTCAACGAGTGTTTGAGCCGGAAGCCAGCAGTAAGTGAAGTGCACTTGCGTGCACTCTCAGTATGTAGTACAGTACATGCAGACCAGACCATCGTCGGCCACTTGCAACGTGTTCACGACAACCCAACCCAACCCAACCCGACCCAACCCACCCCACCCAACCGCACCCAACCCGACCTGAACCTGATACCTCTCAGGGTCAGAAGACGGATCATCCGAAAGAGCTCCAGGCTCGGAAAAAGGATGAGACAAACAAGACGGATGAGATGACCCCCATCCCCATCAGATGCCCTCACTCATACCAGTACGGTACAACCCACCATGTACCGATCCATGCTTCCCTTACCATCACCCCAGCGTCTGCTCAAGCCATGCCCCACTTCGTATCACCCCTCCCACTGAGATAGGCTCTCTTACTACCACCCACAAGCTAGACCCCTTTACTATCACCCCTCCCCACGAGCTAGGCCTCCTTACTATCACCCCTCCCCACAAGCTAGGCCCCCTTACTGTCACCCTCTGCCACTGCACGCATCTCCTGCCCTTCCAGCAGCTCCCCTAACCCCCTCGCCCCTGCTCCTGCTGCCCTCCCTGCTATCCCCCCTGCTGCAAAGCTCGCAGGGCTGGCAAGGACTGCTGTGGGATGATCCGTGGCGTTGTGGAGCAAGGAGGAGGATGAAGAGGAAGGGGGAGAGTTCGAGGCGGAGAAGGAAGAGGAGGTGAGGGAGGCGGAGGCGGAGGAGGTGGCAGAGGAGGGAAAGGAGGAGGAGGAGGGAGAGGAGGAGGAGGAGTGGAAGAAGACGGTGTGTTCTTCTCGCTTCATCTCGCCCCCTCCCACTGGGTCAAACTCCAGGCGGTGGAAGCTGGCAGGGGAAGAGGCGCAAGTGCAGGCATCGGGAGGCAGGGGGTGTGGGGCGGAGGTTGGGGAGCGGACGGGAAAACGGATAGGATGAGATTAGGAAAATTACCATGCCATCTACTCTGCAGCACTCAGCTCGACAAAAAGCGGAAACCCGCGGGAAGGGACAAGGCAAGAGAAGAATTAGGCTTCCAGATACCAGGAAACGTGTCGACGGCTCCTAAGTCATCTGTAAGCCACAGGACGGAAACACAAGATGACTTTTGAGTCGACTCAAAAGTCATCTTAAACGTGTCGACGGCTCCAAAGTCATCCCTAAGCCACGGGACGGAAACACTCGAGCGATGGGAACACACCTGCCATCCATGCAGGCGACAAGCAGCGTGTTTCTCTGTGCACCGAAGGCCACAAGGGAGCGACAGTCTGGCAGATGGCGGAACTGAGCGAGAGACCACTCAGAGCTGAAGTAACGCGGGAGCACTCCTGGTGAGAGGGGAAGGAGAGGGGGAGGGACGGAAGGAGGGAGGGAGGGAAGAGGAGCACGAGGAGATGAGATGCAATGTGAGAGGAATCATTTTTTTTTATCTTGGCCAGAAACTTTGAGAAGTGACGCAATGAACGGGGGTGTGAGGGGAAAGAGGGGAAAGGAAGGTGCCATCGGAAAAAAAACAGGCGGGATTGGGGGAGGATGGAGGGTGGGTGGTGAGGGGAGGTGAGGGATGAAGAGAGGGAGGAAAAAAGTTACAGATGGACGCACGCACGCACACCAACATGCACCACGGAACACAAACACACACTCAGGACACACACACCCGCCGTACACCCTGCACCCGGCACACACTCCCACGGTCCCACCCCACGTATGCCCCACAACATGTCACCACGTCAGAACTGGCACGTGCACATGCATGCACGCACCATCGCAGCTCATGCCCGCCCACCTTTCAGGAAGGATAGCGACGAGCCTGGATTGGGTCTCAATGCCACAGATGCCTCTCCCTCTACCTCCACACCGCCACTGCTCATGCTGTTCACACTGCTACCGGCCCCCGTCACACCAACGCTTCCCACACCCAAACCAGCACCGCTAGTCCCACCCAACCCACCACTGTTTCCGCCCCCCACCACACCACTGCTACGTGTCCCAGCCCCTCCCGCTGCCCCTCCTCCTGCTGTTTCCTCTCCCCCGCCAGCATCACTCCTCTGCCCTTCTCCCGCCTCTGCTGCTCCTATCCCTTCTTGCACGGCTGCTCCTCCTGCTCCTCCTGCTACTCCCGCCCCTCCTGCGAGTGCTCCTGATTCCACTGCCGCTGCTTCAAATGGTGCTGCTGCAGCAGCAGCAGGAGGGCTATCCAAAGAAACAGAAGGGAATGAGAAGGAGGAGGCAGAGCTTGGGGATCCATCAGATGCAGAGGGAGCAGCAGCGGAGGAGGAGGGAGGGAGAGGGGTGGGGAGAGGAGTGGAGGCAGACTGAGGTAGAGAGAGTGGGGTCGGTTGAGAGGGGCTGGGTGCGGTTCCAGCTGCTTGCGGTGACAGGGAGAGATTAGTAGTAGGGCGAGAGGAGGGCAGCAGAGCAAGGCGAGATGAAGGCAAAGGCGAACTGGCAGCATCGCTACCACCACCCACATTCCTGCTTTCCCCTGTGGTGTCAACAACAGCGCCGCTATCGCCACCACCACTGCCGTTGCCGCCGCTGTCTTGACTGGAAGTTTGGTTAGCAGCGGAAGGAGCAGGTACAGACGCAGGAGCCACAGTAGCAGCAGCAGCAGCAGCAGCAGGAGGAGGTGGAGGAGGAGCAGTAGTATGAGCAGTGGCGGTTGGAGGGCTGCTGCTGCTGGTGGCGGCAGCAGTGCCAGGAGGGGAGAGGGCAAAGACATGCGCGGTGCCCTTATCACTGGAGAGTGCAAGGAAGTGCGCGTTGGAAGAGAATGCGAGGCTGTATATCTCCGCCCTGTCCGCCCCCCTCCGCAACTGACGCATCATAGGAGCATCACGGGAGTGGGTGGAAGGAAGTGGGGAGAGCGCAGGGGGGAGAACGCAGGGGGGAGGGTGCAGAGGGCGGGATCGGTGGGTGCGGCGGTGGGAGGGGAGGGGAGGGGAGGGAGGGAAGGGAAGGGAAGGGAAGGGAAGAATTGAAGGCTAGTTTGGTGGTGCTTGGAGGGCCATTGGCATTTGCATGGCACGTGTATAGCAAGGAAACATCGGCCTTATATAACCAACCAGCGAACTATCATCCACTCCTTCCCCATCCCCCCTTCCCTCCCCTTTGACCTCACCCACCACCTCTTTTCACGGCCCTCACTTTTTCCCCCCTACCGCCCCTCCCTTACCCACCTCTCTCCCTTCCTTTCCCCAAACAGTTACTCCCCCGCCCCCCACCCCTCCCCCCCTTCCCTCACCTCCTGCAGCATGGACCCATCAGCAGTGCTGAACACGCGCACAAGGGTGCCGCGCACAAGGGTGCCGTGCACTCGCAGTCCCCATGTTTCTTCTATCGCCCTTCCTTTCCCCTCCCCCCCCGCTCTCCCCCCCTCTCCAGCCCTCTCCCCCATCCCCCCCCCCCTCACCTCCTGCAGCATGGACCCATCAGCCGTGCTGAACACGCGCACGAGCGTGCCGCGCACACTCGCAGTGGCCACGCGCGTGCTGTCCGGGGTGAGCGCCAGGGCGGCCAGCGCCGTCTCATGCGCCGTGATGGTGATGGTGAGGGGCGGCGAGGGGAAGGCGGCGGAGGAGGAGGAGGAGGAGGACGGGGGGGAGAAGGGGGAGGAGGGGGAGGGGGAGGGGGAGGCGGAGGGGGAAGCGGGCGAGGGGGAGAGGGGGTCGTGCACGTGGTAGTGCTCAATGCGGACCTGATGATGGGGGGAACGAGGAGGGGGAGGGGGAAGCGGGGGTGGGGGGGAGGGGAGGGGAGAGGGGGGTGGGGGGAAAGAGAGAGGAGAGAGGGCGCGGGGGGGAATGCTGTTGTCTACACGTTTGAGAGATCCCACAAGTGATACTGTTCAATTGGGGGGCCTGATGCTGGTGGGCCCAAGGGGGGGGGGGGGGGGAGGGGAGAGGGGAGGTGAGGGGAAGTGGGCGAGGTTGAGGGGAGTGCGCACAGTTGGGGAAAGCAGGGATGCTCGTATCACTTTGGAGAATCTCACAAGCGGCAACGTTCGATATTAAAACGGATGGTGGTGGGCATAGTAGAGGAGCGGGAACAGGAGAGACGAGTGTGAGAACAGGGAGGATGAGGACGAGCCCAAGCGCAAAAGAGCCCCTTGCCCCCTCCCCTCCCGTCGCCCCCTCTCTCCTTCCCTCCCCGCCCTCTCTCCCGCTCTCCCCTTCCCTTCCCCCTTCCCCCTTCCCCTCCCCCCTTTCCCCCCCCTCCCTCACCTGTCCGCGGAGCACCCCCGGGCACGCGAGCACGAACGGCGCGGGCGCCTGCGAGATCGCGACGAGCCCCCTGGTATTAGTGAGCGTGGGGAGGCGCAGCAGCAGGCGCAGGTCCTGCAGCGCGTACACGAACACGCGCTGCGCCAGCGCCACCACCACGCGCTCGCGCCGCAGACACACCCCGCGCACCTCCGAGCGGAACGACAGCTCCCCCACCGCCAGGCCCTGGTTGTCGTCCCATATGATCACCTGCGGGGGAAGCGGGGGGAAGGGGGGGGGGAGGTGGAGCGGGATGGGAGATGGGCCTCTGGAAAAGAACAGACACACTGCTCCGTGCACCTCTGAGCGGAACGACAGCTCCCCCACCGCCAGGCCTTGGTTGTCGTCCCATATGATCACCTGTTGGGGGTGGGGGAAGGGGGCGTGGAAGCGGGAAAGACGGGGAAGGCGAGGAAGGGGGGAAAAAAAGGGGGAATGGTGAAAAGTTGGGGCCGGACGGGCAATGGGCCGTCCGGCCCCAACTTGTTGAGAAACGTTGAGAAACGTTGAGAAACGATGCCGCACTCTCACCCACGCGCGCTCGCTCCTCTGCGGGAAGGAAGAGCTCGCCGCAGCCACGCCTTGACTAACGTTCACGATAATAACCGTTGACGTTGACAACAATCGTTCACACCCATTCCCGTCGGGGACGGTTCTGATGACGCCGCCGCGCCTTCACGCTCGTTGCCCTGAGGTTTCTAGGCACCTCAGAAGTAGCAAGAGAGGCCGCGGGAGAGGCAATCGGAGCACGATATTGGTTGCACAACCAGGCGAACCGTGCGGAGTAAGAGAGAGCAAAACAAAAAAAAACCATAACAAAAAAACGATAGAAAATGGCCTGCGCACACGCGAGGTCGTGGTGCCTGGGTAAGTTCCCGCCACGTACCCCAATTTCCGGGGTAATTTCCCACCTTGTTCTTCGGGTACCGCGGGTGATCTCCGCCGCCCACGAGCGCGAGGAAGTTGCAGCGGTACAGCATCTGCGCCATGCCGATTCCGCCCGCGGGGAAGCTCCGCGCGCTGCGCTGCCGTTCCAGCTGCGCCTGCGCCTGTTGCTGCTGCGCGGGCGAGTGTTGCGCCTGATGCTGCTCGTGCTGCTGATAGTGCTGCGGATAGTGCGGATGCTGATCAATTCGATGCGATTCGACGTGTCGCACCGTTGCCGTTCCCGCCGCCGGTCTTGTTGCCGTGGTTGCCGCTGCTACTGCTGTTGACGCGTCGCCCGCCACGTGTTGCACAGAGGCAGCGGCGGCAGGAGGAGCGGGAAACGCGGAAGTAGCGGAAGGCGACGGGGAAGCACCGGGAGCGGCGGAAACATGCGGAGGGGAAGCGGGAAGGGGAGGGGGAGCGGAGCTGGCGCGGGGAGAGCAGACGCGGCTCAGCGTTTCGTGAACGGCCTGCTGACAGAAGAAAATCCGGAAACCCCATGACGTGGCACACGCGAAGAAGGAGCAATCCTGGTTGAACGATATCGAGAGAAGCTGCTCCTCCTCTCGCACCGTGATCTCCCTGCTCTCTCCCGCTGCGTTTTCGCTATCACACGCGACGTACGGGGTCGCAGTGCTTTGATGACTTGTCGAGGGTTGTTGCTCGGGAAGGGTTGCTGGAGCTCGTAAGGAGACGCCACGTGTCACATCGCAAACGCGCTGTTGCAGCTGCTGTTGTTGCTGCTGCTGCTGCTGCTGTTGCTGCTGCTGCTGCTGCTGCTGCTGCTGCTGTTGCTGTTGCTGTTGTTGTTGTCTCTGGTGTTGCTCGTGCTGGCGCCGGTGCTGCTCACCGCACGAATTCCTGGAGGAGTGGACGACGGCAGCGAATTGCGACGCGACGAGCGCCATGGCTGACTCTACATCCGCGTTTCCCGGTGACGCGGGTGCAGCTCCTCGCCAGCCGACGGCGAGGAAGAAAACAGAGGACGAGGCACCAGAAAAAGAGACGCGAAGGTAAGAATGGGGGAAAGGAAAACAAAGTGGAAGGGAGGAAACCGAATGGGCGGGAGTGAATTCGTGAATTGTTTTCGGTGCTGCAGTTCCGAGTTATATTTTCTGCCGCTATTCCGCAGCTCTTCTGTAGCTTTTTAGGGCGAGCGGCGTGAGGGAGGTTGCGTCGCGGTAACAGTGAATCTGGTTCCCACGCGGATTCGCTGGTTGCGGGTGAGTTAATACTGTACCGGGTCATTGCTTATTGCGTTCATTTTATTTTCGGTCACTCTGTGAAGATTGCGGGAGAGGGTGGAGGAGGACAAACAAAGCGCCGGATTGACTGTGATGCGTGGCATGAAGGATGCGGCGCGATGATTGGCTGAGTGACGACGATAGATTTCAAGTTGCTTGCGTGGCGAAATGATGGGAGTCCGGACGGGGGATCAGGGCCGTGATCAAGGGATGAGAGGGGGACGAATGCGAGGAGGACATGGAACCAGGGCTGTCGCTACCAGGGCGTTTGCCCTGCTGGACCTTGAATTCCAGGGCTGGGATGCCCTTGAAAACTGAAATTGATGGGTTGAAAAAAATCTGGCCCTGATTCCTTACAGGGCTGATTTGGGTCCTAGGCCTGGTGTGTCAAGGGTTGAATTTAGGCGAGCCCTGGAACAAAATATTTCGAGCCCCCACCCCACCCCCCTCCCAACTCCTCCACTCCCCCACCCCCCGTTTCTATCCTGGTTGCATCCAACCTGGCAGATTTGGAGTTGTGTGGTTGGGCCAAAAACTCAACTCACCCTTGTCGTAATACTTGCAGAGTGTAGTTGTAAGCTTTGTAGTTGTAAGGGAGGAAAAACTCCAGCCCTGAAGCCTAAAGGGCCGAGATTCGCCCCAACCCTGCTAAATACAGGGTCGTATATGCCGGGCCCCTTGATTTGTCCGGGGGGCCCAAAACCAAACGACAGGCCTGCATGGAACACACTCCAGCAAGGAGGATGACATGCAGGAGTTTCCCAACAAGTGTTTTTTTTCTTCGGGAACTCAACCTGAATATCCTGCAAATCCGGGTGCTCTGATAGGAAACCCGGCTATACTGGGGTACTTCCTTGTCAGGGTACTTCCTGGCCACCATCAGTCTTATCTTCAAACTCCATCTTTTTTATTATCTGATTCCAAACATAAGGAACTGACCCATTCCTGACTTCGCAATAAGATCCACTTGTATAACATTGTCCACTAGTACGCGATCGTGTTACGATTCTACGGATGACTCAGTTTCGATCTTGCTCAGAGTTGATCGCATTGTTGATGCATATCATAATAATTAATGAAACTTCTCAGATTCAATTTAAACCGACAAAAATTACTATAATAAATACAATAATGTGTTTTTTATATTATTACTATAGAATACGAAATGTCATATGTAGTCCTGTATTTTTATGGTACATTTCCTTATTACAGTCAAATTGCAGTGCGGCGCGGGAAGCCGTTTCATACCAGTTCCCGCAAATTCCCTTCCGAATGTACCATAATCGATTTTGATAGAAACTGTATCTGATTCTCCGGTTCGTCCGACCCTTATTCTCTATATTCAGTAGTGTATGCTCATGTTATGCCTATGAATGCTTGACGCAGTTTCTTATCGTAACATCCCCCTTCATTCATGGCCGTAAAAGGTTCTAATTCGTTAGACCACTCCGCTGAGGTTTGCGCAGTGCTGATACTGTTGGTGTCGCAGTCGCTTCATGAGGAAGTCAGCTGTCATGTCACCAGTGGGGCAGTACGTCAGATAACCTTCCCCTTGTCGATTTTGTCTTTCACAAAGAAGTATCGAAGCGCGATGTGTTTCGTCCAGTTGACGAATCTAGGCTTGTTTGCGATCTTGATCGAACTCTGTTTATCGCGAAAGGTTGGTGACATCGATTTTTTTGCCTTCTGCATGAGTTCTTGCAAATAGACGCCTTCGTGCATTACAGTTCTGGCAGTGATGAATTCCGCTTCGGCTGACGATGGGGCAACCAATTCTTACTTCTGGGAATCCCAAAATTGGTCCTATTGGTTCGAGTCGGAAGAGAAAACACGTTCGTGACCGTGGATTTTCAGGATCAGCAGTGTGGTCGGCGCCCACGTATCTGACGAGGTTGGGTTGTGAGAGCCTAATAGGAGACACAAAGTTAGGTGTGGAGTTGAAACACTGCACGGCGCGTTGAAGGTCGAAAAAGTTCTCTACTAGCTTGCATGTGAGCTAGTTGGCTTGCAATATAAGAAAGGTCAGGCCTGCATGTGGCAGAGGCGAACAACAGACAACCCAATTGCTGCTGGTAAAGTTGGAGCCCTGCGGGTGATAGAGGTTTGTTGTCTGGTTTGTGGTTGGGTCTAGGCACGCGGTAGGGAGTTGAAGGTGTTGCAGATGGAATGCTCGCCAATTGTTTCGACGTACCTTGAGGCGGAGAGGTGGATGGCTTCATGTGCGTAGGAGATGTAGGTCCCGTAAATTGCGTCACGTTTGCTGGTGGTGATGCTGATGCGGCTTCCCAGGTTCTTCTCGAACTGGCTGAGCAGTGTACAACGGATCGTCCATGTAGACGGCCAGCATGATGTAATTGCCGTAATAATGCAGGCGATACATTCTGGGATCGCGTGGCAACTGAATGAAGCAGATATGGAGCAGGATCGTGCTGCTACCACAGTTGAGGTGCTTGCTTGATCCCTGTGCAGAGATTTCTTCTGCTGGCAGACCCCGAAGTCTCTTTCGTCGTAGGTATGCGGCTGCTCCACATAGATTACAGTGTCGTTTAAAGCATATAGGAACGTACTTTTCACGTCGATGTGCAAAATTTGGAGTTGTTTGGCGGCGGGCGATGGCAAGCAAGATTCGCACTAAGGTGTGGCGGCTTACGAGGGCAAAGGTTTGGGTGAAGTCACCATGCTGCTTATCATAGCCACCCATCATGCTAATTGAGTCGTTGGTCGTAGTTTTCACGCGGAAGACCCACTTTCTTGACAGCACGCTCCTTTCCTTTACTACGGCTTGATATACGAGTACCCATGTGTCACGGGAATCCAACGTCTTAAGTTCTGTGTCCATTGCTACCCGCCATTCCATTCTATGAGGACTTGTTAGAGAATAAATACACGTATGCATGCAGGACGCATGCACGCACACACATACATACACACATGTACACACACACATGCAAGCGCACATACGCACACGCACACACACATGCCTGATAACACACACACATATATTCTCTCACACACACATATACGTGAATACATACACCTCTACAAATACACACACACACACACACACATATATGCACGCACACACATAGATGAGGCACACACAGAGACGCAGACAGACACAGACATAGACACCCCCCCCCCCACACACACACATACGGATTGAGACACATTATGCATAGACAGATTCAAACACACACAAAGACATATAGTATATATATATATCTCTACACACATATACACAGATACATACATACACACTTACACATACATACTGATACATACACATACGTACGCATACATATACACACACACACACACACACACACACACACACACACACACACACACACACACACACACACACACACACACACACACACACACACACACACACACACACACACACACACACACACACACACACACACACACACACACACACACACACACACACACACACACACACACACACACACACACACACACACACACACACACACACACACACACACACACACACACACACACACACACACACACACACACACACACACACACACACACACACACACACACACACACACACACACACACACACACACACACACACACACACACACACACACACACACACACACACACACACACACACACACACACACACACACACACACACACACACACACACACACACACACACACACACACACACACACACACACACACACACACACACACACACACACACACACACACACACACACACACACACACACACACACACACACACACACACACACACACACACACACACACACACACACACACACACACACACACACACACACACACACACACACACACACACACACACACACACACACACACACACACACACACACACACACACACACACACACACACACACACACACACACACACACACACACACACACACACACACACACACACACACACACACACACACACACACACACACACACACACACACACACACACACACACACACACACACACACACACACACACACACACACACACACACACACACACACACACACACACACACACACACACACACACACACACACACACACACACACACACACACACACACACACACACACACACCCGACGGACGGAGGACAGACAGACTCAGACTCAGTAACAAGACTAGCCGCGTAGTCTAGACGACAAGCGGCAGCGAAGTCAACAAGCTCAGCAACTAGGGCAGACGCAGCAGTGGACTCAAACGAAGGGTCAGTGACAACAGTAGCGAGAAGACGCGTGACAGTAGGACTGGCAGCACGAGCAAGGTCTGATGGCGGGTCAGCAATGCCAGGAAGAGAGGACGCAGGAGGAGACGGCAGAGGGACACGCTGTGGAGCAGTGGAAGGACGAAGTGCCATCTGGTGTGTGCCTGGGACAGCAGGAGGACACTGACGCGGAACACGACGACCAGTGCGAACAGCGCGAACAGGCAACGTAGGACGAGACTCAGGAGACGCAGGACGAGACTCAGGCTCACGACGCTCCGTAAGACCCCTAGTCGGCCCAGAGTAAGGAGAAGGACCACGCAGTGGAGAGGCTGGCTGTAACAGCGACTGCGACTGGACAGGCGGTGGACACAGTAAGGGAGGAGT